CTCTCTTAGCAAAGTTTGCTCAGTTTTCTGGGAGTCCCTGAGAGCGAAAGCTCTCCAGGATGTACCCCGGAATCTCAAAGTTTTTGTAATTTAAGGTTTTTTGGAATTTTTATTTCGTTTTTCCGCTCTTCTGGATTTTGTAATTTAAGTTGTTGGAATTTATTTTTCCATTTCTTCTGTACTTTATAAGAGACGACGAATTTTTCCACTGCAAAGTTTAGAGATCACCTTACCAGTAGCTTTTCGTTGTCCAAACCTTTTATTTCTTGAATCGGCTACATGGAATAGTTCTTTGAAAATCCTCGGTGTATTTGGGCAAGATCTAGGAATTAGACGAAGGATTTCTAGTTTTTCTGAGGACAAGGGATTACCAACTTCTAGATATGTAAGGGAATACGTGATCCAAAACGATGATCCGCCTGTTACAATTTTGAGAGGAGCTTATATGAAGAAATATCCATTGCGGGTAAAACAGACAGGATCTTGGACCGGAAAAGCTCTGAGTAAGGACGATAAAACCGAGGAAGAGAACGAAACTATGTCAGTTAAAAGTCGACCAGTTTTTTCGGAACTTTAGACTTCTTTGAATCGGGGACGGAAGCGTCTTTTTCGGAAAAAGGTCCGACCATTTTGAATCTTCAGGAGCAGTCTGAATCGGATATGAAAAGACGAATTTGAGCATGATACAGGCTAATTAGACTCAAAGAAAAAAAGCGTTACCCACGCAGTATAAGTTGGCCTTCTCACAAGGCGGGTGATCATTTTTAGGAATTCTCTACGAATTTCAGAAACCGGTTTTGTGAAACGAAAGGAAGGACAAGTTTTTTAGTAATTTAGTAGAAAAGGTGATCGGAGGGTTTTTTGTCAGCGGTTTTTTGTGAAGACTAGAATTAGATATCTCAGTTGAAGTTTCCTTTTATGGATTGGAGCGATTGAAGGAATAACCAGGATAGACAGGAGAGTTAGGGAGATAGTACTTCACGGCTCTTCGGATTGGTGAGGCAACGGGATAGTAGTAGTATTTAAGGAGGGAAGGAAAGCAGCATATCATCGGTTTTTCGACTTGAGAGCGAGAGCCCCCTGATGAGCTAGCCGCTATACGCAGGCAGCGAAACGCGTCAGGGCGACGCGTATGACAATTTTTGCTATGAGTGCTATATTGAGTATATCTTTGGAGTACATTATCTGTCCTTGTTCTCTCTCTCTCTCTTCTCTCTCTCTCTCTCTCTCTCTCTCTCTCTCTCTCTCTCTCTCTCTCTCTCTCTTTCTTCCCCCCCTTCCCTCGTTGATGCCGCGCCCGTCTGTTTTGTTTTGTCTTTTTTTTTTTTTTTTTTTTTTTTTTTTTGGTGCCCGTTTTTTGTGGGCTACTGGTCGCACCCCGGTGGGTACCCCCCCCGACGCGGCGCGTTAACGGCCGCGCCGAATTTATCAAGCAGGGTGAGGTACTGGTGGTTTAAGGCATTGACTACGCACGCATATAAGCAGCAGTTGCCCAGGTTCAAACCCTGGCAGCAGCAACATGGCTCCTAGATCTTGATAAGTAGAAGGGGGGGGGGGGGGGGCAGAAGGGCAGTGTGGCGCGCGCGTGCGGTAGCCTTAGCCTTGGCGCTTGCGCAAGCACCATGATTGTACTCTCCACGTATGGCACCCCTTCTGCACCGCTGATTTTCCCTGGCTTTTTCCGTTCGCGCACGCAAAAAACACTAAAAATTCCCGCTATCGGGATTTGCTGATGGGAAGGGAGGGATGGGCGGGAGTGGGGAATGTTCCCGCTGTGATACCAATGTGGCAGACCCGCCGGGCTGGCGATCCGTCAAGATCAAGACAAAGATGTGAGGAAGGAGGAGATGGACATGGAGCTGAAGGGGATAGCGCACCTCCGACGCTGCCACACCACCGTGCCATGCTATCAAGTCATACTATGGCTTTGGTTGTGGTAAGGCACTGACTCTGCACACGTATAAGCAGCAGCTACCCAGGTTCAAACCCTGGCAGCAGCAACATGGCTCCTAGGTCTTGATATGTATAAGCAGAGAGAGGGGGGGCAGAAGGGCAGTGTGGCACGCTCGTGCGCCAGCCTTAACCTTGGCGCTTGTGCAAGCACCATGATTGCACTCTCCACGTGTGGCCCCCCTGCCGCACTACTGATTTTCCCTGTTTTTTTCCGTTCGCGCACATAAAAAACACTGAAAATCCCGCTATCGGGATTTGCTGATGGGAGGGGAGGGATGGGTGGGAGCGGGAACTTTCCCGCTGTGATACCAGTGTGGCGGACCTGCTGGGATGGCGGTCTGTCAGGATCAAGCCAAAGACGTGAGGAAGGAGGAGATGGACATGGAGCTGGAGGGGATAGCGCAACTCCGGCGCAGACGCAACACGCACGAACTTTAAACTATGGAAATGAAGAATGCCCCATAATACAGATTGCAGCTGGGGTATACCCCCAGCGGAAGGACTGGATTGGATTGGACTGGCCTGGTATCGACAGTGGTACCGGGCAGGACTAGACTGGACTGAATAACACACGGGCTGTGGGGTCAGGCCACGGCCTGGTCCCACAGGCCGAGCAGGCAAATTAGCCAGATAGCCCTGGATCTAGGCTAGGGCAGCCAAAGGCACGCTGCATTCCGTGACCCGCCGCGCACAAACAATGCTTGTCGACTCTCTTTGGTTAACGAAAGAAAAGGAGAGCAATGTCTGTCCCTATCTCCCTCTCTCTCTCCCCGATATTTCCAGTCAATGTAGACATATGTACATGAAGAAAATGAGAGCTATGTTTTTTTTTTTTTCTCTCTCTCTCTCTCTCTCTCTCTCTCTCTCCCCACACACACACACACACACACACACACACACACACACACAGACATCTGGTATTTCACTCCATGAACAGAAATGTACATGAAGAAAAAGACTAACGTCTCTCTCTCTCTCTCCCTCTCTCTCTCTTTGTGGCTCTTGCATTTTCGTGTCATCTATCCTTCCATTGTTCACCGCTCGGCCGTATCGAAGCGCACAGAGATGATGCAATGATATGTGGCTAGATCTTCACGTCTCTCTCTTTCTCTCTCCATCTGTCTTTGTGACAGTTTAAACACACACAGACACGTGGGGTGCGCGTTTCGTGCGACCGGGCGTTCAATTCCGGTGACGACAATAGCCTACCTCTAATTCCCGCTGCACCCTCACAAAACCATGACCACAGGTAAGTGCCAGACCCAGGAGCCTTCTCAGCATACAAGTACCCTCGCGGGTCACACACACACCCGAACAATCACGCAGTCAGGCAAACACACTGAACATGTACTTAGAAATCTCAGCAGAATACGGGAATCTCAGCAAGTGCGGCAAAACTCAGAAAACAGCAACATTCTCAAACTGTAATTTTGCAGGTCACAGCCTTCACTTTCTCTCTACAGCATTGACCCCAGCATTGTCGGAAACTCCAGTTCCAAGTCGATCTCTCCTTTTTCCTCTCCCCAACAAAAACACAGCCACTTCTCCTTTTGGATTTTTAACATAGAATCTTTTATTTGTGATGGCCTTCTGGAATCGATTGATATAATCAGTGGCCTGTGAAGCTAATTGGAGACACTAGAGCAGGCATCCAGGCAGAGCTGCCCACTCGACGCATGATGAAACAATTTTTTTTTAATTTTTTTTTAATTTTTTAAGTTTAACCTAAAACTTTTTTCATTATTTAAACCTACACATTTGTGTGTAGGTGTGTGTAGGTGTGTGTATGTATTTTTCCTTCTTTTTCTGCATTTATGCCTCGCCTCTTCCAGGAATGACAGCTCTCCCACCAGCCAAAGCGGAAGAAATGATGACTCCCCCTTCTCCCCGGGGTGACCCTCCTTTCTCTCCGTCAGACCCTACAAGGAAAAAAACTCAGCCATTGTGGGCAAAGTTGCTGAGGTAGAAATGAACGAGGAAAATCCCAAAGGGGGAAAAGATGAAGATCATTCGAAAGCAAGCGAGCAAGAAAAGGAGAAAAACAAGAAAAAGACAGACAGGAAGAAAAAATAGATGGAGAAAGAAAACAGCCACTCGATCACACCGTGAACGAGCTAGCAAATCATCGTGTTGTTATGATTGTCCTCTTGTGTACCTGCCGAAAAGTAATGCTGCTGGAATTTGTTTGATGGATGATTTGCCTTTTGTTTTCTTTGCATAACAAGTGCTCCGATTCATTGGTCGGGAGCCACACCTGCTGGAAACCGGGTCCAGCATCCCATCACAACGTAGTTTGAACTTTGAACAGGATATTGAAGAACTTTTGCAGATCAGAGCAGTATTGACTACGTTTTTCAGTCTGTTACATCCAAAAGGATTCTCTAGGACACAACATAAACGTTCTTCTCGCGAATGGCACTTACATTTATGTCGTTACACACCTAGGCTACCAGACTGGCCCGGGCCCACTTGCCCGGCTGGGCCAAATATATATATAAATATTATATACATATATTTATATATATTATATATATATTCCCTCTCTGCCTACGGTTTACCGGGCAGCTCTGTTTGACGATATATATACAGGGTAACTTGCGTTGGGGATGCGGGCCGAACGCCCAAACGTATGGGACCCCTTGGCGATGCGTTCGGCCGTTCGGGCCGAGCGCGGATCCCCCCCCCCAAAAAAAAAARAAAAAAAAAAAAAACTGAAAAAAAAAATGTTATGAAGAAAAATAAATTAAACAAGATTTGCCTGAGCATTACATCCAAATTCCTTACCAAATTTGAAAAAAAAAAAATGCGGAGAAGAAATACAAATAACAAAAATAATAAAAAATAAAAGGAGAAATAAATTTAGTGAGTGTGCGAGCACGTTTTCGACATCGCCAGAAAGTCGAGCGTAGAACACACCGCGGGCGCAGCGGCTGGGAGCGCTGCGCCCCGCCCACGTAGTCGGGCCAAGCGGCATCGAGCGGTGACAAGCGGCGGAATGATGCGAAATCGGACCGAGCGGCGCCGGACGGCATCAAGCGGCGGAGCGATGCGATGTTGGGGGGAGTGGATTCGGGGTGGTGTGAGGTGGCGGTTGAGAGGTTTTGGTTGAATGGATGATGAGGGGAAGGATGGTGACGAGGGTGGTGCATCGTGCGTAGAGGATGAGGTTGCTACGAAGAGGCTGCTTGTGAACGGCTGCGACAGGTATGGTCTGCCAGCTTTCAACGAGTGAATCAGGTGATGAAGGGCAACGAAGGGCATGGTAGGTCTGTTTCCCCCCGGACTACCAGTGAGGGGTCACCGGCAGGTTCGGTGGTTTTGTCTTGCTACGTGGCAAGTGAGGGGTAAAGTGAAGCCACGGTCCGTTACTCCTTATTGTTCAGCCTTATGTTATTGATGGCCGAGAGAACGGCTACATGAGGGTTGAGTTGCCTTCGGCCGATAAGGGAGGGGGTGAAGGTTTGGGGGAAGACAGACACAACATGATGAGAGGCCGGTTTCTATGCTTCGATCCATAGTTTTGAGGAATGCCTGTTGCTCTTCGTGGCTGGATGATTGAGTGATCTCGTTTTCTTACGCTCTAATTCTTGTTCAATTTGAGGATCGTGAATCTGAGTTTTTATTCTGATTTTCGTTTTTCGAATCTAATTTTTTGAACCCGTTGGATTTCTCTATTTTGGATTTATCATGATAGGTAGCTTTAGGTTGTCGATTCGAATTTGATTCAAGACAGCGGGTTTAGGAATGATTTGAAAAATTTTCGAATAATTCTCGATTTGATCCTTCATGTTGATGATCATAAATCAGAGCTTCGCCTCTGATCTCGAATAAAGTCTTCAAACCTTTTAGATGCTCAATGTTTTTTTTCCCAAATAAAGATTTGGAATTTTTTCCTGAATAAGATTCCTAATTTGAAATTCATAAATCAGAGCTTTGCTCTGATTTTAATAAAAGATTACCAAGTTTCCTTTACAAAAGGTTTCTTAAAGTGGCACTGATGTTTCACGGTTTTTCAAAATTGTTCCAATTCTTAATTTGTCGTGTTTCCCTATTTTAGTAACCTCAAGTTTGTGTTCTTCTACCTTGTCTTATATTAGTAAGCTCAAGTTTGTGCTCTTATATCTTGAATTTGATATCTGATTCGATATTAGAGTTTATCTGTTTGAGGGATCTTCAAAAAGTAGGTCATAATTGAGTCTCAGGGTGCGATACCGTAGAATTTGGGCTCATAGGTGCTGATTGAACTCACTCCTTCAAGGTTGAGCCCCACCCTGCGAGGGTTATGCAAGGTGGGAGGTGTGATCCTCGAGAGGGTAGGGGTGGTTTGTGGGTTTGTTCTCTTTTGGGCCAGGCTGATTGGGTTCGATCAGCTAAGGTGGTTGGGAGAGAGGACAAAGGGTCGATGCTGGTTTCAGCAAGGTGAGAGGTTGTGAGGTGTTTCACTTGGAGAGAGTGGGACATGAGGAAAGGGTGATCTTCGACTCTGCGGGGGCATACTCTAGGAGGTATTGTATGCTGCTGAGGGAGCAGGAGTGCTCTGAACTGGGGTTGGAAGGTGAGGGGGCACCTTCCAGTGGAGGCAGTGAAAGGGCAGGAGGTCGTTTTGTGTGGGGGGGGAGTAAGCCGCTCGGTTTCTTGTGGGCCTCTACCTCCAGTAGAGACCGGGATAGGCGCAAGAATTTTCATGGGGAGAGAGGAAGTTTCTTTCCGAACTCTCTTCTTGTGAGATTAATATGCCTTATATGACTACTTGGTTTTATAACCTTTTGATTTCTGAGTTGCTTGTCTACGTTTTATGAACCAGGTGTTTCGAGGAGGTGTGGTGCTGCACTTATTAGGGTGAGCGTGTTCACCTGATTTCTGCCATTTCTCCTCTTGCGAACTATGGGTGGAGGAGGTCGGCTCGTCGTAAGAGGAGGAAGGTGTTGAGGAAGGTGTATGGTTGTGGCTGCTGTTCTCATCCCACGAGCTATGTGGTGGAGGAGGTCGGCTCATCGAGGGATGAAAAAGAGTAGGGGGTTGAAGGGAAGAGGGAGGCTGGTTTCGTGGATTGTTTCTGGCTCGTAAAATTCACTCAAAAATTTCTTCTGGCGGACTACTTCTATTCTTCTTCTTCGAACTATGTGGTGGAGGAGGTCGGCTCATCGAGGGATGAAAAAGAGTAGGGGGTTGAAGGGAAGAGGGAGGCTGGTTTCGTGGATTGTTTCTGGCTCGTAAAATTCACTCAAAAATTTCTTCTGGCGGACTACTTCTATTCTTCTTCTTCGAACTATGTGGTGGAGGAGGTCGACTCGTCGAAGAAAGACGAATAGTGAAGTCTGCTTTGACTGGTTTCATCAAAAGAAAAATCTCAAAAAAGAGATCTCAGGGTTGACCATACGCGGATGGCTGATTGGTGGTCTTAAGAATGTTTTTGGACTCTGGGGATTCCTAGCATATCTTCTTAGGTGGCTTTGATGTTGTTATACTCAGTGACCTGCGGCTGTTTAATGCCAGAACAACGCTGGCCGGTGCTGGGGTGTTGCCCTATGACCTGCTGATGCAGGAGCGTGAGCCTTGGTAGAGAGGTCTGGGGATGCTTTGGGGTGGGCATTCCACGGGACAACTAAGGGTTGTTGCTGGGACGACGCTAGTCGGAGCTGGGGTGAGTTGTGTTGCCCTGTAAACCAGCAGGATGTGGGGGTGTGAGACCTGGAAGAGCTCGGTAGGGAGTAGGACAGTGTTGGAGTGCTTTGAAAGGGTTTGTTAGGGATTTCAAAGGTTTCTTAGCATTTGTGGGACCATTCCTATGTTTTTCCTATTTGCTTAGACGTTCTCTCAAGAGACCGAGGTGAGTTGGAGAAGGAGAAGGTGGGATATTTCGCATCCTACTAGTAAGGGAGCTAGCTGGTAGGACGGGAATAGGGTACAGCAGCAGTGGAGATGGTGGCTCCGCTGCAGTAAGTCTTGCCGGAGTGGGGTACACGGGACGGATTGGGGGTGTTCGAGTCTTTTAGGTGAGTGAGACATATCGATGGTGGGATATCAAGCGTCCTACTAGTGTGGGGGCTAGCTGGTAGGATGGAAATAGGGTACAACAGCAACGGAGATGGTGACTCTGTTGCAGTAAGTCTTGTCGAAGTGAGGTAAGGAGGATTGAGGGGGGCTCCTGAGTTGTTTTCTGAATTTTATTCAATTCTAAAGTTTGTCGTAGTAATTTCCTAAGTAACTCTAATTTTTCTTAGCCAAAGCCGGGTAATGGCCCCGGTATCTCAAATTTTCAAAATTCGATGTAAATCTCCATATGGGACGCTGGGCACAGTTCCCAAAACGTGTTGCTCCCCACGAATAGATTGGAGCCTTGTTCCCATTAAAAAAAAAAACAAAAAAAAAACTTTTCGACATTGCCATCTTTGGCGCTTTTTCATTTTTTTTTGGCAAAGCTAAATGCCCTGAAAATTTACAGATGTGTATTTCACATAATACAAAACCCACTAAAAAAGTTTCAAAAAATAATAAAATTGTTTAGGTCCCGAACTAAAGTGAAAACAAAAAGTAAAAAGCGGAAAAAAACGTGAGCGAGCACGTTTTGACAACGATATCTTTCGCGATTTTGAATTCTTATTCGGCTGAGCCAAATGACTTCAAGGTATGTACCTCACGTCATAGAGAACTCATAAAACAAAATTCAGAATATATATATATTTGAATTCTTATTCGGCTGAGCCTCGAAATAAGTTTTGGCGGGGGCCGAACGCGGCCGGGTTTGGACCCCGTATGCGACCTCGAACGCCCGTACGTACGGAGGTCGGCCCGGGGACCTCCGTACGTACAGGCTGGTGACCCTGTATATATATATATATATATATATATATATGGTCACAAACAGAACTGCCCGGTAAACCGTAGGCAGAGAGAGAGAAGAGGACAACAAACGAGGGGCTGTGACAAACTGTTTCGTCGGAGTTTCACCGACTCATCAGGAGGCTGAACCCTCAACAGTCTGCAAAATCCCTCACTGATTACACTGTAAATGATAATCTACCTTAACCAAAATCAAAGTAGACTATCACTCACCCACACCAGATGGAAAACTCTACAGACTGTCGGTTCACACCCCATCACAAGTCAGCAAAACATCCACGAAACAAAGAAAGGATTGTCACAGCCAAAAAATACACTCCAGACACGCCGCTGACACTAGAGGCATATATATATCGTCAAACAGAGCTTCCCGGTAAAACCGTAGGCAGAGAGGGAGAAGAGGACAACAAACAAGGGGTTGTGATAAACTATTTCGTTGGAGTTTTACTGACTCATCATGAGGCTGAACTCTCAACAGTGTTGCCTTGGAGTTTCACCGACTCATCACGACAGAAGAGGGGCCGAAGTACTCTACTCTTCTTCGGCGGAGGAGGTGCTGGTGTCGCCTTCGTGACAGTCTTCGTCGCCTTCCTCTTTCTTTTCTTCGATCCCCTGGCCTCCTTCATCGCTCTGGCAGCCCCCTCTTGGCCTCGACGGCCAGCGGCCATCAACCCCCCATCAAGAGAGGCTCCAATGTCTGCGCCCTGATCGTAGTCGTCGTCCTCGTCCGGGGTGCTGTCCTCGTCAACGGCCTTCTCACCCCTCGTCTTACCCCTAGCGCACTCCACCTCTTGCCGCACGTCCTTGTCCTGTGTATCGCTGTCACCATCATCATCTCCACCCTCGGCCGCCCTCCTCTCGTCCTCGCTGTCCTCGTACTACTCCTCCCCCTCCTTCTCCCCCCCCGAGTACATCTATTTTCTCGAAACCCACGAGACTTCAAGAAGTCGAGGATCTTCCGATGATGGCTATGATCGAACGAGTAGTTCGTCTTGTTCCGAATCTCCGCCAGCTGCTCCGCGAAGACTTCAGCGCAATTGTTCTTTATCGTGAAGTGTTGTGCGGCCTTCGTTTGACTTCCTTGAAACCCCTGGCCGCACAATTTGCACTCCATGAGAAAATTCCCGTTGGAGTTCTGCAGTGTTTGCCCCTTTGTGATCCACTTAAAACAGCAGAACTTGAGCTCCGCCTGCCTCTGTTTGTCCTTACTTACCGGGACAAACGGTTGCTCTCCCCTCCCTTTCTTGGGCCCCATTGTAGACACCTCGTAGAGTCAGGAGCAGACAACTGCGCCCGCGCCCCCCTAGCGGTGTACACGGTCGTTCCTTGGCCCAAACCCCCCAACGTCGCCCGTGCCCCTT